CGAACGAGACGCCCGCGGGCCACTGCAGGCCGTTAGGTACTCGACACTATTCTGACCCGAAATCGTCCTAAGTGTCGACATTTCACTGACCTCTGCTCCTCTGACTCCAACACTCTTTCCTGGCAGAAAACGTGATCGAAATGCCAGATAGATTTATGACCTCAGTGGTCTACCAGTGTATTCTTTGGGTAGTTGGTTGTGGCCACGGTTTGCCCCAGCGTATTGAAGCGTTCTGTGGGAGATTGCATTGCTTCCTTCAGCAAGGCAAATATGATGTTGAAATGCAAATAAAAGGAATGGCTGTGATCGCTGATAGAGTGGCATAAAATGAGTCTTTCATGATCGTAAACGGAGATTTAACCTTATTGTGAAGGGGTTTCTGAACTTCTTCGATGTCATAACATTTAGAGGTTTTTTTTTCTTCTTTTGCTTGGCATTATCTTCTTTTGCTTGCAGCTTTAATCTTTTCCAGATAGCATTCCTGTTCCAATCACTCTGGTTTCTGGTCACGTTTTAACAGCCGACAGCGATCTTTTTACATTTACGCATCAGTATTACAAACACAACGCAGTTTTAAGCTCACTAGTCTGCGTTTATCGTACGGGAACATCCCGCGCGCACTGGATGGTATCGTTCTCATATTGACATCGAGAGATTCCGTAACGAGAACCATTAACACATGGCAGTATTGCTCACACAGGCAAGCTGGTTACTGTCTATCGGGAGTCACGGACGCAGCTCGCAGGATGCTGATGCATAGCCGCACATAAATGCATAGCTACATAATCTACATAGCTAAACGTAGCTTAACATAGCTGCACAATGCAGGTGCCCTTAGCTACACGGCTGCACAATCACTGACCTGCCGAGCGCACCCAACCGAAGGGTCGCCTGCGAGAGGAGCTACCCCAACAAACCCGCACCAAACGCCCCCCCCCCCCCCCACCGTGCAGCTTCCGGCTGGAACTTTACACCTAAATGCATCGAGGTTTTACACGAGCGCAGACCCAGCGATTCTGCTCGAATCGGCGGACAGGAGCGCTCGCGCAAACACGAGTCGTTAGGCACTTGTGAGCTGGGCTCAGTGCATACATATTAAACAATGAACGTAGATTATTCACGATCACCTTGCAGCTCGTTAGGAAATCTTGCATTGGATAACAAGCATATCTAGATAATAATGTATATGCCTAGCATTTATAACGTATAAAAACTTGCATCAAATGCGCGACTGCACACACATGATTGATGCGTCACAGATATCAAAATGTTATATTAAGGTTCAACATTTACATAAGCAAAATATACCAGTAACATTATTCACATCAGCAGAACACATGCTAAATGATGAATGAGGTTCATTTTAATAAATGCTTCGATAAGAACACATCTGACATCCGTCGAATATATGGCAACCAACCCATCCTGAGTCAAAATAAAATGCAGAGACATAAAATTAAACAATTTACGAGCATTTTACTACCTCTTGCATCTACAAATAGTTCAACGCCTAAGCGCATTAAATATGCGCTGAATGATGGCACATTGTAGCCCATAAATAAAGCGTACCGAAAAAATGTAAATGAAACAAAGTGAAGTAACCCGAAAAACGACCCTTTCTAGCACTGCATGCAGCCCAAAAACGGGGCATGTTCAAAAACTCTTTCCCCCATTACCTAATTTTTCAAGTTATTTAGAACAGTTTTTTTCCTCTGAGTTTCCAGAATGTGAGCGGTACGGCCTCGTGTGAACTGTGCAGTGCTGCTCTTACCATACATTGTCTCCAAAGCCCTTATAATTTTGGGCTTTTATGCTGGGAAATAAGACATAACTTCTCTTATTTCCCAGCATGAGAGTGGCCCTAGTCCCATTACTCAGAGGCGGCGGAACGGGGAGGGCACCGGAGCACCGTGCCCCCCCCCCTTTGATTTTGGCATTTTAACATTAGCCCTATGGGCTGCATGGAAAGAATGGGACCAAAAGTCGGCAGTGCCCCCCCCCCCCTTAATTGAAGGTGTTCCGCCGCTACTGCCATTACTTATCCCTATGGGCAACATCCGTTGACCCTGCGCAATAATAAATAAGATAAATAAACCGACATGGCTGACGGGAGTCTTTAAATCGTAATCGATGCGCTCATTTCTCATTATTATTGCCTGGCTCGGGCCGCAGCGACACATAGGTAGGTACGTCGTGTTCAGAGGTACTGGTGGCCGCGGTTCACGGAGAGCACGTTGAACAGAATGGCGAATAGCGCACAGGCGAGCAGAACTCCGAGTCCCAGATATCGGATCAGCGGCTGGCGATGTTTCGGCGAGTGACTCCGCAGAATGGCCAGTCCCAGCGACAGGCCCGCCACCCCGCCGGCCAGGTGCGCAGCATAACTTACAGCCGGCTCCACAGATGACAGCACCAGCCAGTACCGGTGGTAGACGGCCAGGGCCGCGTCACAGACAGCGATCAGCAGTACCGCCAGGAGACGCTGCACGCCCAGCTCCATGTGGTTGTAATTCTGCCGGAGAAACAATAAATAAGAACTGCACTTTGGAGTTCCACTGATTTTGCGCTAAACTGAGAGGGCTACATGTAGTCTGCAGGCACAGGATCCTCTAAAAACAGCTATGCATCAGTGTAAATATGCCTACAATTCATTTTTCGATGTAGATCATAAAAGAGGATATACCCTTTGAGGCCTCCCTCTCCTCTCACCACTCACCAGTAGTACGTTGGCAATGTGAGCTGTCAGCAGCGCATACACCCCTCCCGACGCGCCGACCAGGTACACCTGGCGGCCAGCATCGCAAACTGAGGTTCCCAGACTGCCCGCCAAGACTCCGGCTAGGTAGATAGCGGCGACTCGGACCGTACCGTGGCCCAACTCCAAAGGCACCCCGACCGCCAGTTGAACCAGGAGGTTAAAGGTCAGGTGCCACCAGCTGAAAGGAACAGACGGCCGGGGTCAGAGGTCAGCTCACGGAACGTGACCTCAGGGGAGCAGGGGTCAAATTACCTACAGGTTTTGAGAGACGTCTTCTTTAGTGGTGTCTAAAAGCCAAAGAAAAGCGTGTCTGCTCACTCAAGATTAGGTTAGAGGCTTCACATGAGACTGAACCGACGTTCCGAACCAACATATCAAAGCAATGCATTTAACCATGACATTTACGATCAATACGTTGATCAGAAGCTAGCTCATATTGAAAGTACACGCAGCTGATGATATTGATATTGAACTGATGATGATACTGACCTGGTGTGTAACACCATATACGTGACGAGTCTCCAGAGTTCCCAGCTGCGGTCAGGTCGGTACACCAGAGCCGAATCCAGTGGTACCGTGCCCATGGAGCCGAGACGCACCACGGAGGTCAGGTCAGGGGTCAGGTCAGAGGTCACAGAGGTTCGGTCAGAGGTCACAGAGGTCAGTGAGGTCGCCGACGGTAGGTCAGAGGTCACAGGGGAGAGGTCAGAGGATGATGACCTCGCCGCGGCCAGTGCGCTATAGTAGACGAAGAAGCCCAGCTGGAACAGAGAAATAACGTTACGATCAATAGTTAGTAGAGCCGTCTCAATGTATCTATGATTCTATTCACTAGCTTTTTAGAACGTAAAAAGGAGCATAAAACATGTATTTTTTAAGTGAAATCTAAGGTAAAAATATAGCTTTCAATTTGCTTAATCAGCTTGCATTGAAGGCAAATGATGCAAAGCATGACGAGTACTTTGCAACAGACACGAGTAGGTACAGCCCACCGGCCACCGCTAAAGTAATGTGCGGTTTAACCCTCGCACGACCAGGCCATTTCTCATAACACGAACGACCAGGGGGGGGGGGGTTGTTACGACCCCCCCTGGCGTTTCGAAACGGAAGGCCGTAGAGCTTAGCGGAAAAAACCAACGGATTGCTCTCAACGAGATCTCGCGATTGGTGGTATATTTTTTGGTCCTAGGTCAACATTTGACCTACTTTTGACCGGTCAAAGGTCAAATTTTCGGAAAAATAGACTTTTTTCAACTTTCGGCGGCGATTGCGGCAAAACGGTGGGAGATATCGACTTGAAACCTTCACTATCGTGTTCCTTGATCAATTCTCTATCGTTTGGTATGTATTTCGTTTCCCTAGCTCTAAAATTGGCGCGTTGGGAGCGCCGGAAGTCGGCAAGGTCACAGTCGGCGGCAGAAATTCGAAAAATCAAAATTTAAATTTTTGAAATCTGATTGTATTTTTGGATTTGGGAGGTCCATTTGCTCCCTATAGAAGCTAATATTGCTGCATATTCCCATTGAGGTGACAAGAATTAGCAAAATAGTGGTTCGGGCGCTTTTCAAAAATAGTACCGGACGCTGTTCCTCTTGTGACGTCATAGCTCCGTGACCTGACCTGACCCGGTCAAATTTCTTATACCATATGATAGCCAATACTTGCCCCAACATGCATGGGAAGTTTCATCACGATCCATCAACCGATGTCCGTACCACCGGCAGGAAACCTCGGGCGTTGGCACTCAGTTTGTGAAAATCCGGCCGGAGGCTGTACCTCTTATGACGTCATAACTCCGTGACCTGACATGACCCGATCAAATTTTTTTCGGCAAAAGATGCGCAAAGGTTGCCCCAGAGGGTATTGAAAATTTCAGCCCGCTACGACAAGCCGTTTAGCGTGCACTTCGAAAAAACCTCAGGGGGGGGGTTGATACAACCCCCCCCCCCCTAGGCGTTCTAGGGTTAACCCATCTCAACGGACGGTTTTGACTGGCGATTTTTTAATGCGGAGTGATCGAAAAGAAGACGTCAATAGATAAAGTTGAAGCTGCAAGGGTAACGATACATGTAAACTACCTTCAAAGTTGCATTGTAGTCTGGCTAATCGTTCCTAAGCTTCAGAAGCAGAATATACCCATGACCGAAATCGCACATTACTTCTGTTGTGGACTGTACGTTCTTTTTTAAACTTATACTAGAGGTACAGGTTTACGCGATAACTGTATGTTTTGATATGTATGATTAACGGATGCATTAGTTTGGGTGTAGAAACTTGCATTTTTATTAGTATTATTTGTGTAGAACTGTGTAACTGCTTTGAATTGAACTGTAAAGTATTGATGGTGACGCATGCGAGTTGTTCGAGCCCTTTGTAAGTTAGGATGTTACTCAATTCAACCCTACCCTACCCTACCCTACTCCAACCCCTACACTACCCTAACCTACCCTACCCCTACCCTACCCTACCCCTACCCTACCCTACCCCTACACTACCCTACCCTACCCTACCCCTACCCTACCCTACCCCTACCCTACCCTACCCTACCCAACCCACTCTACCCTACCCTACCCTACCTTACAATCCCCTACCCTACCGTACCCTACCCTACCCTACCCTACAATCCCCTACCCTACCCTACCCTACTCTACCCTACCCTACCCTACCCTACTACCCTAACCTACCCTACTACCCTACCCTGCCCTACCCTACCCTACCCTTCCTAACTCTACCCTACCCTACCCTACCCTACCCTACTACCCTACCATAGCCTACCCTACCCTACTACCCTACCCTACCATACCCCTACCCTATCCTACCCCTACCCTGCCCTTACCCTATCCTACCCTTCCCTACCCTACCCTACCCTACCCTACCCTACCATACCCTACCATACCCTACCCTACCCTACCATACCCCTACCCTACCCTACCCCTACCCTGCCCTACCCTTACCCTACCCTTACCCTATCCTACCCTTCCCTACCCTACCCTACCCTACCCTACCCTACCCTACCCTCCATGGGTGGAGAACCTGCCCCGGCCACCCCGGCCGTGGCCGGGGTAACTTTCAGCCTACCCCGGCGCGGCCGGGGTAACTTTTCTACTCTTGTAAATCCTAAAAGCTGTCTCCATACGAGAAAAGAAAACTCACGCTCTTCGAATGTTGACTTCCATGGGCGTAATATTGCAAATCAGGTAGGTATTTACCATTTACTTAAAGGGACCCTCCCACCTTAACATTAGATTTGAGTTGAGATAGCCAAAATGGGGTCCCTGGCTCACAATTACCGGTTTCGGCACTCACAACATCGAGAAATGCCTTAAATCGGAAATATTGAATTTCAAAATTGCAGCATTTTGATTCAGAGGGGCTAATGCTTAGGAATACCCCTCTGAATGTGTGACGTCAGCGCAGATATCTAACGATTTTTTAATGTTTGACTAAAACGTTTTGTAGCACGCGGTGGTATATGCTATTTGCGCGCAACAACTGCCGCAAACGCCGCACTTCTAAAATAAAGTCGCTAGAAACAGCGGAGATCCCAAAAAAAGGTAAACAAAAGTAAAAGTCTAATATCTTGAAAACCGGTGAATACTTTTCGCTGAAATTTGGTAGATATTCGTTTTCGCTCTTTCGGAACCGAGCGACATCACTTTCATGCCAATTCATAAACTTTTTTGAAGGTGGGAGGGTCCCTTTAACTTGCCTTAACCCGCGCCCTGCTGGGGGGGGGTGTTTGAACACCCCCCCTTGTGGTTTTTCGCGAATATCTCAAAAACGGCGGCGCGGAGCGCCGCCGTTTTTGGTACACCTTATCATACATCAATTCTACACATGTTGTGAAAATTTCAGACCACGGTCATTCAAGGTCAGGTCACCAGGTCACTTGAAGTGACCTCACCTCATAAAAACTTTCAATGTCTGTCATAGCTACACCGAGTGACCGATCGCTTTGAAACTTTCAGCGATTGCTAAGAGCAATAGCATGTACAAAATGTATATCTCAGAATTTTGATATCGATGACCTAAGGTCAGGTCAATTTTGCGACCTCCACATTATAAGTCAATGGGAGAAAATTGAAATGCGCCTCTTTTGGATGAAAGACATTATAAACACTCCCAAACACCGAATTACAAGTGGTTTAGACACACTGAACTTGAAAATGGTGTCCGTGACCCTTGTTTATGCCCTGAGGTCATCTTAGGTCACGAATGGTATCTAACAGTTTTTCGCAAATAACTTTTGATAGAGGCATGCTAGAGCGATGAAAACTCCTTAGATGTGTTCAGCTCGACGATACGGATCGACTGATATGCAACATGACCCTTTCCGGTCAGGTCATGACCTTGACCTGAGGTCAAATTTTCAAGTTGACCTTTCAAGGTCAAGTTATAGTTCATTCGATGCGTCTTGACGAGAGGAACACGATGCCGGTAAAAGTAAGCTCGTACAAGGCTTGGGTCAAAAGTTATTGCAGAAAAACTGTTTTCGAAAAAATCGGTTATTTTTGCAGTTTTTGCCCCCTGCAGGCAAAACCGTTGACGTTAGGTCAAATCTGAGAGAATTACTCAGAAAGGGCGTTAATAGGGCTATCGAATGCGCTTTTCCGCGGCGCTGTAGCTCTATTGGTTCCCGAGTTATGCGTTGGCTTCTTGGAAATTTTCGACATTCGACCTGGAAATCGGCGAAATTTTGCCTTCAATGACCTCTGGTGACCTGACCTTTGACCTGACCAAAAAATTGACCGAAGTGATTTCGTCATTATTTTTGACGCTCTTTCGAACGCCGCCTTCCGCGTATCGCTACGTGGCCCAGGAGCCGAGTTACAAGGGGGGGTGTTCAAACACCCCCCCCCCAGCAGGGCGTGGAAATCCAGGACCCCCAGCAGGGCGCGGGATAATCTCCAACCCTAAGACCCGCGTGTGGTCGCCAATGCCAAGATTGCTCTCAAATCCTGTTCAGTTTCGAAATTTTGGCGCACCTTCGGCGCACTTTTTCAAAACTACTGCTTGACCTCATTGCCTTCAACTGACCTGCCACCAACCGCAACCACACCCGTTTATGAGCGTACCCGTCAGGGTGCTCATAAACACCGAGCGGCCATCATGCTTCGAACTCGGACTGTTGTAACCGGGCCGAGTGCTCTCGCCACGCGGAATCCAACGCTCTAGCAACTGAGCTACGAGACCGGGACCGGTCGATATTCCTGGATCGACTCCCTGTTTGTATTATAAGAGCCGCCCAACATTGAAAAAGGCTACGCCCGTGGATGTCAGTGACCTATTTTAGTGCTTTGCTTGGTTCGATCTGTAAATTTCTCTGTAAAGATTCTACTATGGTGAGTTGTCTTTTTGTAGCTATTTTGAGACACAATAAAAAGCTGAAAACGCAACATTTAGGTACTCAAAATGGCATATGGTTTGGTTTGGGTTCGGTGTGAAATTGGAAGTTTAAGAAAAAAGAAATAATAATTTAAAAGCAAATTGCCTTTTCGATCATTCCAAAAATGTTATGAATAATACGGTGTCGGATACAACGCTCATCCTTGAGCAAACACAGCATCCTATTCCATGCGTCAGAATAGGGGTTTGATGATGACCGTTGAGAACAACGTGAGTATATCGTCTTCCCGCGACTATCGGTCGCCGGCCGGGGTAACTTTTTCAAACATTCTCCACCCATGCTACCCTCCCTACCCTACCCTACCCTCCCTACCCTACCCTACCCTATCCTATACTACCCTACCCTACCCTTCCC